CTCTTGCGTGATGGCAAATATGTAGTTATGGTGTTTACTTGCCATTTCTCATGCATTAGGGTTTAAACACTCGGACACGTATTCGGACCCTCTTGCATGATTGCAGATATGTAATTATCATGTTTACTTTCCATTTGTCACGCATTAGGGTTTAAATACTTGGACACGTATTCGGACCCTCTTGCATCATGGCAGATATGTAATCATGGTGTTTATTTGCCATTTCTCATGCATTAGGGTTTAAACATTCGGACACTTATTCATACCCTCTTGCATGTTGGCAGATATGTAATTATGGTGTTTACTTGCCATTTCTCATTCATTAGAGTTTAAACACTCGGACACGTATTCGGACCCTGTTGCATGATGGCAGATATGTAATTATGGTGTTTATTTGCCATTTCTCATGCATTAGGGTTTAAACACTCAGACACTAATTCAAACCCTCTTGCATGATGGCCGATATGTAGTTATGGTGTTTACCTGCCACTTCTCAGGCATTAGGGTTTAAACACTTAGACACTTATTCGGATCCACTTGCATGATGGCAGATATGTAATCATGGTGTTTATTTTCCATTTCTCATGAATTTGGGTTAAACATTCGGACACTTATTCAGACCCTCTTGCATGATGGCAAATATGTAATTATGGTGTTTACTTGCCATTTCTCAAGCATTAGGTTCGAACAGTCGGACACCCATTCGAACCATCTTGCATAATTGCAGATATGTAATTGTGGTGTTTACTTGCCGTTTCCCGTGCATCTGGATTCGAACAGTCGGACACGTATTCGGACCCTCATGCATGATGACAAAAAATGCAATTATGGTGTTCACCTGCCATTTCTCATGCATTAGGGTTTAAACACTCGAAAACTTATTCGGACCCTCTGGCATGATAGCAGATATGTAATTGTGGTGTTTACTTGCCATTTCTCATGCATTAGGGTTCGAGCACTCGAACACTTATTCGGACCCTCTTGCATGATGGCAGATATGTAGTTGTGGTATTTACTTGCCATTTCTCATGCATTAGGGTTTAAACACTCGGACACGTATTCGGATCCTCTTGCAAGTTGGCAGATATGTAATTATGGTGTTTACTTTCCATTTCTTGTGCATTTGGGTTTAAACAATCGGACACTTATTTGGACCCTTTTGCATGATGGCAGATATATAATTATGTTGTTTACCTGCCATTTCTCATGCTTTGGGGTTTAAACACTCGGACACTTATTCGGACCCTCTTGCATGATGGTAGATATGTAATTATGGTGTTTACTTTCCATTTGTCATGCATTACGGTTTAAACGCTCGGACACTTATTCGGACCCTCTTGTACGATGGCAGATATGTAATTATGGTGTTTACTTGCCATTTCTCGTGCTTTAGGATTCGAACACTCGGGCACATATTCAGACCCTCATGCATGATGGCGAATATGTAATTATGGTGTTTACTTGCCATTTCTCTTGCGTTATGGTTTAAACACCGAAAAACGACTTTTTAATGTGCCTATGGAATACTGGGATAGTGATGGACTTAGCCGAATAGCTAGTGCTGTGGGAGTTCCTTTGTTTATGGACAACCTCACTGAGAAATGTAGTAGAGTCTCTTTTGCCAGAGTGTGCGTTGAAATAGATGCAGCATCTACACTACCAGCTATGTTTAATGCTAGCTGTGGAGGGGATACAATTGTAGTAAAAGTAGAATACCAGGGTCTCCCAGCAAAATGTGATCATTGTGTAGCCTTTGGGCATGATACAACTAGATGTGTTAAATCACAGGTTGAGAAGTTGGTCAACCTCCAAAAGGAAACTGAGGAGAGTCCAGATCCTGGGTGGAGTACAGTTATAGCAAAAGGTAAGAGGAAGGTGGGGGATCCTGAAGGTGGAGAACATGGGGTGCAGAATGAAGAGGCAGATGGACAATTGGGTGCAGATACTGAGACCACACCAGAAGGGGTAGAGGCCCATAATACCCAAGTCCTGGAAGAGAAATCACATAGGGAAGGCACCTCCAGTGATAGTGAACCCAGTCCTGGTGGGGAGGCCAATTCCCCTAACACTACAGATTTGGAGAATCTCCAGAAGAACCTAGTGGCAATAACAAGGCTTGCTCTTCCCAATGATACTGAATTGATCACTAAAGTGGAACGTCTAGCGGAAGCAACACAGGCAATGAAAAGCCCAATACAAAAGCAAATCCAGCAGAAATCGGCTGCAAAAGGTAACTCCTCTGGCAAGGGTAGCAAAAGCCAGAGGAAAAAGCAAAGGTAAATTCTGTTTTGAGTGGTTGTGAGTTACTATTTTTGTTGATTATCTTATGACTTTTAAAATTGCATCATGGAATGTTAGAGGTTTCAATGATACCTCTAGACATAAGGAAGTGAAAAAAATTTTGTTACATGAAGATATAAAAGTCTTAGGCATTTTGGAGACCAAAATAAAAGCTGCAAACGAAAAAGCACTCCTTTCTTCTTGTTTTCTAAATTGGTCCTTTTTGACTAACTCACAACCAACTAAAACTGGGCGTATTTGTGTGTGCTGGGACCCTGCTTTTTGTCAAGTTCACTTGATTGAAGCTTCCACCCAGTTTATTTTGTGTGAAATTCTTGTTTTGGGTGATAACTCTATTTTTAAAGCTTGCTTTGTATATGCTGAAAATAAGCATGCTATCAGGAAAGAGTTTTTTGGTGACATGGTTAAAATTTCCCAGTCTCAGTCCAATGTTCCCCTGGTCTTCCTGGGGGATTTTAATGCAATTAGGTACCAATATGAGAAATTTGGGGGTACATTTTTGTGGTCTCCTGAAAAGGAGGAGTTTAACTCTTGTATTATTCACTCTGGTTTGGATGAACTCTCATATAGTGGCTGCCAATTCACTTGGGCCAATAAAAGGAATAGTGGTCAGTACATTGCAACGAAAATTGATAGGGTTCTGGTCAATGAGGTTTGGCTTGACCTGTACCCTACTTCTTGTGCAACTTTCCTTACTTCCTCTATCTCTGATCATTCTCCTGTTGTGGTTACTGTGTCTGAAGCCATTACTTCCTTTAAGAAACCTTTTAAATTTTTTGAATTTTGGTCAAATCATGAGGACTTTCTTCCTGCTGTTTCAAAAGTGTGGAATCAATATATTCTGGGAGTCCCTATGTTCAGAGTTTGTCAAAAACTCAGACAACTGAAACCTGTTTTTAAGGCCATGAACAAAAAGGAGTTCAGTGACATTTCTACCAGAGTGTTGGCCACTAAATCTGAGTTGGATTCTGTACAATGGAAGTTGGATAAGGACCCTGGTAAGCTTGAGCTTCAGAGACTTGAGAAAACTCTCTATAAACAGTATGTTGATCTGACTATGGTTGAAGAGAGTTTGGCTCACCAAAAATCTAGGGTTCAGTGGCTGAAGTTGGGGGACTGTAATAGCAAGTTCTTTTTTAAGACTATTAAGGGTAATATTAATAGGGGTAAAATTCTTAATATTGAGTTAAAGGATGGGAGTATCTAACAAGCCTGAAGAGATTCAAAATGCCTTCACAAATTTTTACTCTGACTTGTTTGGTACTCCTATTGCTGGCCATTATGATGGGATTGAAAGAATAAATGCCCTTGTTAAATCTAGGGTCTCCAATGACCAATCTGCTCTCCTTGCTAGACCAGTGACTGATCTGGAGATTAAGGATGTTTTTTGGTCTCTTAAACCTAACAAGGCCCCTGGCCCTGACGGTTACCCTGCTGGCTTTTTCAAAAAATCTTGGGGTATTGTTGATAGAGAGGTAACCCAAGCTATTAGAACTTTTTTTGAGTCTGGGAAACTTCTCTCCGAAGTCAATAGTACAATCATAGCTCTCATCCCTAAAGTTCCTAGCCCTACAAAAGTGGGAGACTTTAGACCCATCTCTTGTTGCAATACGATATACAAATGTATAGCGAAGATCATTGCAAATAGGATTAAAGAGGTCTTGCCTGACCTCATTGATCTTGTGCAATCAGCTTTTGTGCAGGGCAGGAGAATTTCTGATAATATCTTCTTGTCTCAAGAAATTTTGAGGGGTTACCACAAGAATTCCACTACCCCTAAGTGTGCGATGAAAGTGGATATCATGAAAGCTTACGATAGTGTGAGATGGGAGTTTGTCATTGATATCCTCAAAGCCATGGCTTTTCCGCCCATTATGATATCTTGGATCAAGGCTTGTATGACAAGTCCTTCTTTCTCTGTTTGCATTAATGGGAGCTTGCATGGTTATTTTAAAGGTGCTAGAGGTCTTAGACAGGGAGATCCTATGTCTCCTTATCTCTTCGTTCTGGCTATGGAAATCCTTGCTAGAATTTTTGCTGAAAAGTCCAATCATCCTCAATTCAAGTTCCATTGGAGGTGTGAGAAATCTAAGATTGTCAATCTCTGCTTTGCTGACGATCTTATGATCTTCAGTCGTGGGGATGCTCCCACTGGTAGTTTAATCATGCAAGGTCTGGAGGAGTTCTCTTCTCTTTCAGGCCTAACCCCTAGCTTCAGCAAAAGCAACATTTATTTCTCTGGTTGTAATGGGGGTTTGAGAGAGGATATCCTCAAAATTGTTCAGTTTACTGAGGGTACTCTTCCTGTCAAATACCTTGGTGTCCCACTGATAACAACCAAGCTTAGGGCTTCGGATTGTCAAATTCTCATTGATAGGATCACAAATCGTATTAAGGGCTAGAGAAATAAAGCTCTTTCTTATGCTGGAAGAGCTTAACTTATCCAGACCATTCTCTTTTCTATGCAGGTTTACTGGTCCTCTCTTTTCATCCTCCCTAAGAGGGTTATTAGAGAGATTGAGGGTATCCTTAGAGCTTTTTTCTGGTCGGGCACAGATCTTAAGAAACATAGTGCCAAAATTGCTTGGGATAAGATTTGTGTGCCTAAAAATGAAGGTGGTCTTGGTTTTAAATCTTTAGAGGTTTGGAACATGGATGCTATAACCAAGCATATTTGATTCCTCTTCTCTGGAGGGGAGATGTCTATGTGGTGCCAGTGGGTTAAATCGTATTTACTTAAGGGCAGAAGTTTCTGGAAAGTAAAGGTTCCCCACAACTCTTCTTGGGTTTGGAGAAAGATTCTAGCTCTTAGGGATAAAATTTCACCCCTTATTATCCACAAAATAGGTAGGGGTGACTCTACCTTTTTATGGTATGATAATTGGCATCCTCTTGGTCCTTTATGGAAAAAATTTGGGGACAGAATCTTGTATGACTCTAATCTTAACAGTGAAACTAAGGTCAATCAGATTATGGATGGGGACTCTTGGAAGTGGCCTGTCCCCAACTCTTGGGAAATAAGGGAGCTGATCTCTTCAACCCCCACTAGCTGCAGACCTAACCTTCTACTGGATGATCAACCTACTTGGTCTCTTTCTGATGGGAAATTTACTATTAATGGTGTTTGGAATCATTGGAGGCTTAAGCTTGATAAAGTTGTTTGGCATAAATTAATCTGGGGGGCTCACCATATCCCTAGGGCTAGTTTTGTTGTTTGGATGGCTGTCCAGGAGAGGCTTAATACTGGTGACAGGCTTCAGCTATTTGGCATCTCTCCTACACCAACTTGCCCCTTTTGCAAACATGTTACTGAAACTCATTCTCACCTCTTTTTTGATTGTGTCTTCTCTACTAAAATCTGGACTGAAATCAAGCTAAATGTAATGTGCAGTGGCCTGACTTTCAGTGGCCTGGCATTATTCCCTTTGCTACTAAAGAGACTAAGAGAAGATCATTAAGATCCATAATCATCAAATTGTCATTGTTGTGCTCTGTTTATATTATCTGGCTTGAAAGGAATAACAGAATTTTCAATAAAGAATTAAAGCCAGAAGAAGTGGTAGTTAAAATAATTGTCCAACTGATTCGAGGTAGATTGTTGTCTATCACAAATGTTCCTAGAAATGCAGGTGACAACTGGTACATTGACCATTGGAATTTGCCTGCTACTGCCTTGAAGTCCCATGTTCTCGGCACTGGGAGGGCTGTTGAGTGATGTGAGTTCACTATATGAGGGTCGAGTGATTGTAAGCAAACTGAGTGTTTTTTCCTAACTGTTTTCTTCTTGTGTAGTAATGAGAAGTGCTTAGATCAATGAGGGTTGAGTGTTGTGAGTCCAAAAAATTTACAACAGACAAAATTGTGGGTTGAGTGAAATAGCTACTCACAAATGTTTTATCTAATGTTTATATATATTGTAAGCTTTATGTGCAGGCTATGGAGTAATGCAATGTTGTGTGGGTTGAGTGATGAGAGCCGATATATTGTGTGCTAAATTCCAAATACTACTGAGTGATGCGAGATTATTGTGGGTTTAGTGATGTGAGACATATATTGTGGTTACCTGTTTTACTGGAATCCTTCATGATCACTAATGGATTTGTTTACTCCATTCTGGCAGGTCTTTCTATATTGTCTAGTGGAGGTCTACGTCTTGGTTTGACTCTTGGGATATTTGGCTCGAAGCTGGCTGCTGAATGCGCCGCTGGTTATTTCTTTAGGGATATAAGCTGTTTTCCTTTCTGTTTTAACAACTTTAGCTATTTTACCTATCCTAGCGGGATGTGCTAGGAATTAAGTGGTCCATCTTTGACCTGTTTTGTTTCTATTTGCTTTACTGTTTGGTTCTGGATTATGTAGTCCACAGGTTATGTTTTGTTTTCCATTACTGTTTTCGGACTTGGGGCCGACATTTTGTGCTGCTATGGGGCTGTTTAACTCACGGCTTTGGGTTGTTCCTTCGCAGTGTTCATTTCCCTTATCTCTCATGATATGGTTGCTGAACAGTGTTTTTGTTTGGGCTCTCTTTTGCTTTATTTTTTTTTTTTGGTTGCTGATCTTGCTGTATAGTTGGTTGTAGGGCCTGGGGTATTCCCCTTGTAATCTTGTATATCCTTTGTCTTTTATTCATGTCTTATTCACCCAAAAAAAACACCCAAAAACTTATACGGACCCTCTTGCATAATGGCGGAAATGTAATTATGGTGTTTACTTGCCATTTCTCAGGCATGAGGGTTCGAACACTCGGACAATTATTCGGACCCTCTTGCATGATGGCAGATATGTAGTTATGGTGTTTATTGGCCATTTCTCATGCATTAGGGTTTAAACACTCGAACACGTATTCGGACCCTCTTGCATAATGGCTGATATGTAGTTGTGGTGTTGACTTTCATTTGTCACGCATTACGATTTAAATACTCAGACATTTATTCGAACCCTCTTGCATGACGACAAATGTGTAATCATGGTGTTTATTTGCCATTTCTCATGCATTAGGGTTTAAACATTCAGACACTTGTTTGGAACCTCTTGCGTGATGGCAGATATGTAATTATAGTGTTTACTTTCCCTTTTTCAGGCATTACGGTTGGAACACTCGGAGACTTATTTCAACCCTCTTCCATGATGGCAGATACGTAATTACGGTGTTTATAAGCCATTTCCCATGCATTAGGGTTTAAACACTCGGACATGTATTCGGACCCTCTTGCATGATTGCAGATATGTAATTATCGTGTTTACTTTCCATTTGTCATGCATTACGGTTTAAATACTCGGACACATATTCGGACCCTCTTGCTTCATGGCAGATATGTAATCATGGTGTTTATTTGCCATTTCTCATGCATTAGGGTTTAAACATTTGGACACTTATTCGGAACCTCTTGCATGTTGGAAAATATGTAATTATGGTGTCAACTTGCCATTTCTCCTACATTAGGGTTTAAACACTTGGACACGTATTCGGACCCTATCGCATGATGGCAGATATGTAATTATGGTGTTTATTTTCCATTTCTCATGCATTAGTGTTTAAACACTCAGGCACTAATTCAAACCCTCTTACATGATGGCTGATATGTAATTATGGTGTTTACCTGCCACTTCTCAGGCATTAGGGTTTAAACACTTAGACACTTATTCGGATCCACTTGCATGACGGCAGATATGAAATCATGGTGTTTATTTGCCATTTCTCATGCATTAGGGTTAAACATTCGGACACTTATTCAGACCCTCGTGCATGATGGCAGATATGTAATTATGTTGTTTACTTGCCATTTCTCAAGCATTAGGGTTCGAACACTCGGACACCCATTCGAACCCACTTGCATAATTGCATATATGTAATTGTGGTGTTTACTTGCCATTTCTCATGCATTAGGGTTTAAACACACGGACACATATTCACAGACTCTTGCATGATGCCAGATATGTAATTATGGTGTGTACTGGTGATTTCTCATGCAGTAGGGTTTAAACACTCAGACACTATTTCAAACCCTCTTGCATGATGGCCGATATGTAATAATGGTGTTTACCTGCCATTTCTCACGCATTAGGGTTTAAACACTCAGACACTTATTCGGACCCTCTTACATGATGGCAGATATGTAATCACGGTGTTTATTTACCATTTCTCGTGCATTTCTATTTAAACATTCGGACACTTATTCGGACCATCTTGCATGATGGCAGATATGTAACTGTGGCACTTACTTTCCATTTCCCGTGCATTAGGATCCGAACACTCGGACACATATTCGGACCCCCTTGCATGATGGTAGATATGTAATTATGGTGTTTACTTGCAATTTCTCATGCTTTAGGGTTTAAACACTTGGACACGTATTCGGACGCTCTTGCATGATGGCATATATGTAATTATGGTGTTTACTTTTCCTTGTTTAGGCATTAGAGTTTGAACACTCGGACACTCATTCAGACCCTTTTCCATGATGGCAGATATGTAATTATGGTGTTTACTTGCCATTTCTCATGCATTAGAGTTTAAACACTCGGACACTTATTCAGACCCTCTTGCATGATAGCAGATATATAATTATGTTGTTTACCTGCTATTTCTCATGCATTAGGTGTTAAACACTCGGACACGTATTCGGACTCTCTTGCATAATGGCAGATATGTAATTATGGTACTTACTTGCCATTTGTCATGCATTAGGGTTTCAACACTCAGACACTTATTCGGACCCTCTTGCATGATGGCAAATATGTAATCATGTTGTTTATTTGCTATTTGTCATGCATTCGGGTTTAAATATTCAGACAGTTATTCGGACCCTCTTGCGTGATGGCAGATATGTAATTATGGTGTTTACATGCCATTTCTCATGCATTAGGGTTCGAGCAATTGGTCACCCATTCGGACCCTTTTGCATGATTGTATACATGTAATTGTGGTGTTTACTTTCCATTTCCCGTGCATTAGGATTTGAACACTCGGACACGTATTCGGACCCTCATGCATGATGGTAGAAATGTAATTATGGTGTTCACCTGCCATTTCTCATGCATTAGGGTTTAAACGCCCGAAAACTTATTCGGACCCTCTTGAATGATGACAGATATGTAATTATGGTGTTTACTTGCAATTTCTCATGCATTAGGGTTTAAACACTTGGACACATATTCGGACCCTCTTGCATGAAGGTAGATATGTAATTATGGTGTTTACTTTCCCTTTTTAGGCATTTGGGTTTGAACACTCGGACACTTATTCAGACCCTCTTCCGTGATGGCAGATATGTAATAATGGGGTTTACTTGCCATTTCTCATGCACTAGGGTTTAAACACACGGACACATATTCAGACCCTCTTGCATGATGGCAGATATGTAATTATGGTGTTTACTTGCGATTTCTCTTGCATTAGGGTTTAAACAAGCCGACACTAATTCAAACCCTCTTGCATGATGGCCGATATGTAATTATGGTGTTTACTTGCCATTTCTCACGCATTAGGGCTTAAACACTCAGACACTTATTCGGACCCCCTTGCATGATGGCAGATATGTAATTATAGTGTTTACTTGCCATTTCTCATGCGTTAGGGTTCGAACAATTGGTCACCCATTCGGACACTTTTGCATGATTGCATACATGTAACTGTGGTGTTTACTTTCCATTTCCCGCGCATTAGGATTTGAACACTTGGACACGTATTCGGACCCTCATGCATGATGGCAGAAATGTAATTATGGTGTTCAGTTGCCATTTCTCATGCATTAGGGTTTAAACACTTGAAAACTTATTCGGACCCTCTTGCATGGTGGCAGATATGTAATTATGGTGTTTACTTGTGATTTCTCATGCGTTAGGGTTTAAACACTTGGACACGTATTCGGACCCTCACGCGTGATGGCAGAAATGTAATTATGGTGTTCACTTGCCATTTCTCATGCATTAGGGTTTGAACCCTCGAAAACTTATTCGGACCCTCTCGCATGATGGCAGATATGTAATTATGGTGTTTACTTGCAATTTCTCATGCATTACAGTTTAAACACTTGGACACGTATTCGGATCGTCCTGCATGAAGGTAGATATGTAATTATGGTGTTTACTTTTCCTTTTTAGGCATTACGGTTCGAACACTCGGACACTTATTCAGACCCTCTTCCGTGATGGCAGATATGTAATTATGGTGTTTACTTGCCATTTCTCATGCACTAGGGTTTAAACATACGGACACATATTCAGACCCTCTTGCATGATGGCAGATATGTAATTATGGTGTTTACTTGCGATTTCTCTTGCATTACGGTTTAAACACCCAGACACTAATTCAAACCCTCTTGCATGCTGGCCGATATGTAATTATGGTGTTTACCTGCCATTTCTCACGCATTTGGGTCTAAACACTCAGACACTTATTCGGACCCTCTTGCTTGATGGCGGATATGTAATTGTGGTGTTTACTTGCCATTTCCCGTGCATTACGATTCGAACACTCGAACACGTATTCGGACCCTCATGCATTACGGCAGAAATGTACTTATGGTGTTCACTTGCCATTTCTCATGCATTAGGGTTTAAACACTGGATAAGTTATACGGACCCCCTTGCATGATGGTAGATATGTAATTATGGTGTTTACTTACCATTTCTCATGCATTAGGGTTTCAACACTCAGACACTTATTCGGACCCTCTTGCATGATGGCAGATATGCAATCATGGCGTTTATTTT